TGTGGAGGCACTGTCGAAGATGCCCAAGTACGCTAAGTTCATGAAAAATCTCTGCACCAACAAGAAGAAACTTGGGGATCTCTCGACAGTGCTGCTGAGCGAGGAATGTTCTGCCATCCTGCAGAACAAGCTGCCCGAAAAGCGCAAGGATCCAGGGAGTTTTACTATCCCTCTCACTATTGGCAGCATGCATGTAGGAAAGTCCTTGGCGGACCTAGGAGCTAGCATTAATGTCATGCCATATAAATTGTTCAAAAAGCTAGACCTAGGTGAACTTAGCCCTACTAGGATGAGCATTCAGCTGGCTGATCGTTCTGTGGTGCATCCTAGGGGTATCATAGAAGATTTGCTTGTTAATGTGGGTGCATTCACATATCCTGTTGATTTTGTTATTCTGGATATAAATGATGATGTGGATGTGCCGTTGATTCTGGGGAGACCATTTCTTGCCACCGCCAAGGCACTGATTGATGTGCATGATGGTAAACTGATCTTGCGTGCTGGGAATGAACAGGCTATTTTTCCTGTGACTGAGTTTGATCATTGTGCTATGATTTCTGTATCGCCTGTGCATGCTGTTTCTGATCAGGTACACGAGCCTGTCGTGTACCCTTCTGCACCTCTCATTTTGCAGGACCCGCCTATCATTCCTTCGCCGCCACTCCATCCAGTCTCGCCTCCGAACAAAAAGCTCAAGGAGGAGTGGCGGCCGAAGCCGCAGGTGGCTAAGCCTGCACGGAAGAAGAGTGGAGACCACTATGAGCTGGTCCCACCCCCTGCACCACGACCACCCTGGCCATCTGAGTACTCACTCGCCTGCATCTTGCCGGATGGCCAGGTCGAGCTGACCACTGCTGGTGGTTGCAACCGTCGGGTGCACGGTCACCACCTGAAGCTGTACCTCAAGAGCGATGTGGATCCGCTCTTGGAGGCACCTGTTCCTGCACCTCCCTGAGTATCCACCATGGGCGTCCAGCTAAAAGACGGTAAAGAAGCGCTTGTGGGGAGGCAACCCCACCACGGTTTGACTTTCTTTCTTATGTTTCGAGTCGGATTGCGATTTGGTTTTGTTTTGGTTTGTTTCCTTTGTTCTGGATGATGTCTTATTGGGCTGACATCGGACCTAACATATTCTGGTTGAGCTCTTCTGTTCCCCTTGAGCTGTGCTGTGTTCCCGACTGGTCCATTTCCAGTCTCCTGCAGTCCGTGCATACCGGTAACATCGTTCCCCTTTCCTTCCCTCTTCTCCATTGAGGGCAATGTCGATCTTAAGTGTGGGGGGATGTTTATCTTTTGACTGCATTAGATCTGTTTGTGTGCTTGGAGCCTAGTCCACTGTCCAAATTTTTAAATTTGAGGGCTCCAAGTACGTGTTCCTTGCAATTGCCTGCTCAGTATGCTTTGAATTGACAGTCTCTATAGTGATTTGCAACCTAGGGAGGTAGTGTAGCACTATGGAGGATGTTGATGCATTTAAGAAGTCTCATCTCTTCTTCATACTATGTTGGTTGATTGAGTGAATTAGTGATCTTAGGACTCTTGAATTGTGTGGTGTTGTGGACTCTCTGCCTGTCATGGACTCTTGTATCATGTTTTGAAAGTAACAGGTGCTCGAAATGTGCTTTAAAATAACGTCTCCCGTGCGAATAGGGTGAAAGTATGTAAGGGGAGACGGGAATCCGTTCCCAATTTCCACCTACTACCTCCAGCCCCCTTACATGTCTTTCCCCCGCACGAGGCTCGAGACAACTGCTCCTGGCATGGCCGGTAAGAGCCGGGCTCCCGCAAAACCTTTGCTAGGTGGGAGCCCCCGTTTTCTGCAAAAACAGGTTGGAACCCTTGAAAAGAAAAGAGAAAAACAAAAAAACAAGCAAAAAGAAGAAAGAAAAGGGGTTCCAACCATCTTCAAGAAGGAAATCGAGCACCTTGAAAAATGTGAGTCCATGATCTTTTGTTTTTGAGAGTCTCTTCATCCACGATTCATTTGTCCTCTATTCACTATTTGCCATGATGCCGACTCGAGACTAGCGTTCTCGCCGAAGAGGCTATGAGATGACTTGTGCGTCGGTTGACCTCGTAAGCTGCTAAATGATCTAGGAAGTCCTCTACCTACGATCGAGGTTGTTTGTTGCTATAGAGGTCTGGAGAGCTGCATTGGTTTGAGTTAGGTTTGCTTGGGGACAAGCAAACGGTTAAGTGTGGGGGAGTTTGATAGACCGATAATTATACATGTTTTCACCCCTATTCTGAAGCCGTTTGTGATGAGGAATCTCGTATTTTAAGCCGATTTCACGCTAGGTTGTGTGTTTATGTCATATTTCAGGTCCCGGCGTTGGAATCGAGGCGGAGAAACGAGTTCTGGGTCGAAAGGAGCAAAGTTGGGACGGATAGGGCTAAAGGAGGAAAATACCCGGTCAGGTGGCCAAATACCCGACCGGGTATTCACCACTTTTGGGCGCCCGAGAAGCAGAGAGGGGCCCGGGCACAGCAGCAAAATCCCCGGTCGGGGATTATGGCGATTGACCGGGGATTCTTCCCTTAAGCGAAACGGTGCGCTGCAGAGATACCCGGTCGAAACCCAAAATACCCGACCGGGTATTTCGACTGGGTATCGCGACCAGGCAGCTGATTTAAGGAGGAAGAAGGCCAACATTGAAGGGTTCCGAGTTTTTGAGAGAGAAATCGATTCCTAGAGAGAGAAAGCGACGAACCAGAGTTCCCAAGCGCCATAGATCGATCTTCAACACCATTGGAGCCCGTCTTGAGCTTGGAGAAGTGCGATTAAACGTCCAGGAGCAGGAATCCAACTTCACAGTATGATTTCCGTGTCTGAATCTGTTTTTGCTTCTTTCTCTATGGAGTAGTTTCCCCATTCATCTGGGTATGGAGAACCCTAGATTTGTATGCTAGGTCTGATTGTATGAACCCAAGTACAGAGTTTGTGAATTGATTATATTCGATTGAGGTTTGAATGATTGAATGACTTGAATCCTGATCAAATTCCTGTTGTTTCTGCTTTGACCTAGAATGAGAATATCTGCCTAGGTTGATAGAGTACCCTTAATCGAAGGTGGCGAATTGGTGACTTTAGTCGAGGAGCCAATTCGCTATTCTGTACCGAAGTTAGTTCGGTAGTGGAGGTTTGGTTCATTAGGGCCTCAATCTGTTTACTCCGGTGGAGGTTAGTCGCCCGCTAGAGACTCAGATTGAGAGGGTCTGGAGACCTTTAGTCGAGACTTCAGGCTAATTGAGAACCTTCCGCAGTATAACTTTCATGAAAACTGAACTTGGTAATTACAATCCGACTTAACTGCAGTCTAGGGGGAACCATATCCGGGTGACCTCTCTTGACTTGACAACAAACCGTTTACTTGCTTTGTGTTTTGTTGCTTGAGTTTCACTAAAAGTTCACTGCTAAATAACAAGAATTCACCGAGTAGTCATCACATCTAGGACCCGGGTTAATAATAAAACCCAAACCCGCTATACTACGCTTTAGGAAGTGGTTACACTTGGCCATTTTCTAGAGTGACAGTAGGAGTGAGTCAAATCATTAGACAAACAAAATAGGGAGAAATTGACTCCCCCACACTTAGGTTCCAACATAAGTAACATGCCCTTAAAGGCTTTTCAAAAGTCCGGTTGACCAATATTTAAGCTCAATCAACCTACAAGCACAACGAGGCATGAAACTAGGCGTTTCGAAGATCACAAAGTTTGCCATGCAAGTCTAGATCATGCCTCAATGGCCACTATTCAACATACTTAAAAGTGTGTCAAGCTTACACATAAAAATCACACACTTGGTGGACATTTCAAATTCAAACATCATTCATGCAAAATCTTTCCAACCAAGGCTCAAAACCCACATCAAACACATTACCAACATGAAATCACTCATCATTCATCGATTCCCTTGCCTAATTTCATCATTCATGCAAAATTTCCTAATTCTCCTTACCTAAGAATCCTAGATACTATTCTCCCGAAATTGAAAAATCATAAGATGAAAACACACCTGAAACACAAGTAGGATTGAAGAGGAAGGCGACGAGGTGACGAGGGAGTCCAAAAAGGGCAAAAAAATTGACTGAAGGAGGCTTATGGAGCTTCACCTAAAGCTTGCCAGAGTCTCGGTGGTGATATAATTGACCACAAATTCCCCCCCCCCCCCCAAAAAAAATCTCGGCAAGGTGCGCCTAAGAGAGGGGATTCTGGGTATATGTTTGGGTTTTGATTTGGGCGATCAGAACTGGATCAAATTGTCAGAAAACCGCATGGGAGAACAATTTCCGGCGAAGTTAAGTTCACGATTTGTGAGCTTCACACCCTATTTACATAACCCAAGGGTTAGCATCACGATTTTGGTGTCGAGATCATGGTCTCAAACCATGATCCTAACACGCAAACTGTGATTGTAGACAACCAATGAAAATCAATGAGAACGTTGGTCTAAATACACAACCAATCAGAAGAGAACAACTTCTGTTGAGCAACAGTAAAATGGCCCAATATAAATAAGAGTGTATGGGCAACAAATCTGGAGGCATCTTTCAGTCCACATATTCTCAATCCTTATCTTAACACAGTAGAGAAACATAGAAAGAAATCATTCATATTCATCCAAACCCCATCCAAACTTTTACATTGAGCTTGAGTGAAAACCCAGAAAACATGTAGAAAAGTAAAACCCAACTTCCTCTCCCTTTTCTCTTTCTTTTTTCTCGCAAAACACAGGTTTTGAGAGAGAAAAACTGTAATAACTCCATTCACGCCTCTAACATGAGGAGCTGAAAATTAAATTGGAAGGGACATGAGGAGCTGGCAATGGTTTCGGTGCATCCTTCCTCTCCCAAATGCTTCTACTCCCTTCAATAAATCATCGATCCCTCTTCTCTCGGCCGCCCCGTAAGTTGCACCATCATATCCATTCCTCCCACTCTCAAGACCTCCCATCAGTACTGCTAAGCCTCAAAACCAGAAATTGATCCCATCATCGTCAACTCACTCCCTTTTTACGTCCGCCAACCTCTGATCATCGCCATCATCGTCATCAACGGAGGAGGAAGGCGCAACCCATAACTACGTACTTTGGATCTCCTATTCTCTCTCGACCTGTAGGTAAGCAAAACGAATTCCTTGCTCAATTCAAGCTTCAAGGCTATGTGACTAACACACAAATGGTATTTCCATGGCGTAGCTTCGGCAGCGAAAGTGCAGGGTGACCAAACAACGATCCAATCAAGGAACTGAGGTCCGGAAGCTCCCTATCTAGGCCTATACTCGTATTAGAGGTAAGGAAGCCCAGTCTCTGTCGCTAAAAGTGCCATACTTATTCGACTTTGTAGAAATCCAAGAACTTTGAGACAAGATTCTAGGTCTTTAGCAACGGTTATATGACCGTCGCTAAAGGCCAGTCAGTAAGTAGTACGACCAGATCTTTTGAGATGGCCAGTTATGGTATTTCGTGACGGATTAAGTACCCATTATTAAAGGAGCTATTGTTTTTACCATATATTTCTCTTGATTAATGTGTAAATCATGTATTGTCAATTTGATTTAGTTGTCGATTAAATAGGTATCTTATTAATGTTTGGACTAAGATGTTAAGTAACAACTAGTACTTGACACAATTTGTAAATTTGAGTTAGTTAAGTACTAGATTCAATAATATGATTAAAAAGGCTAGATATATAATAGGTTTGATAAATAAAGTAATCATGGTGATTAAGAGATGTCCATAGTTTTGATCAATTATTGATATGTGTAACTAATTCAATTCAATAGTATTTAGTTATCAAGCTGGATCTTATGGGTGAGTTATAAATGAAATTATTATGTCGATAAAGCATTCTAGTTATAAACGACTCACTACTAATTTGGCTAAGCCAAGAGCTTAATTCTTTAATTGGTAGCCCATATCTATCATAAACAGTAGTGGATTTATTAGTTTATTCAATTGATTAATATATCTTAGAATAGACTTTTGAATAATCATATAAATTATATTTTAGCACGATTAGTTTTTTTAGGTTATAGGTATAATATGCCCCTCTACTATTATGTGTTATCGAACATGCCCCTCTATCATTTTTTACATCAAACATGTCCCTGTACTTTGACAAAATTATCAAACATGCCCTTCTGCTGAAATTTCTATTGAAAAAAATCATCAATCATGGTTGAATCGAGATTTAGATGAACAGAGATATTGACGACTGGGAGGGAAAATATCAGTTTTGTCCCCCTTTTTATTTCTCTAGGTCTCTTCAAAGTGAAGTTATTTGTATTATTTGGCTATATAAAAGAACCAAAAAATTCTAAACTGAAATTATTAGGGATATTTTAGACATTTGTGTCGCCCAAACCAAAGTTCGGTGTTGGTTAGCGATTTTTGGATGAAAATTTTAACAAAAGGGCATGTTTGATAATTTTTACAAAGTACAGGAGCAGGTTTGATGTAAAAATAGTAAAGGGGCATGTTTGATAAAACATCATAGTAGAGGGGCATATTATACCTATAACCTTCTTTTAAGGATTTAAATTGATAAAGACCCAAATGGTACTAGATTTAAAGAGTTATGATCATAGTGTGATAATTAATTGGTACATTAGTATATCATACTCTCCACATCTTGTAAAGTAATCCCAAGTCGAGAATCAATAGGCGAATCACCCAAGCTAAGGGAACCAATATTCAAGTTGTAAGCGTTTTGAGTTAATAAGGTGCGTGGTTTGAGGGGGACTAGTTAATATTCCATTATGAATTGTTTACGATGCATGTTACTTGGGTTATACGATATGCTCTTCTTTGCTTTTTATGGTTGAGTGATGCGTTTGAGATTCATGTTCAAGTTTATAAGTAAGAACATGTTTTAAACCTCACTTAGCTAGAAGCACACGATCACCCCATGTTATGATTAAGGAGGTTAGGAACCCTACTCCTGGGTAATGAGGAGGTTACGAAGCCTACTCCTGGGTAATACGATCATGTTTAAGTATGTCGGTGATCATGGTGGTGTGCTAGTTAAGTTGAGCTCAAGGCCCCCTTTTTTGCAAGGAATATCCATTTCAAGAAAATTATTTACAAGTCTAGTAAATATTTTTATGCATGAACTTTTGCTATCATTTGCATGTTGAGTCATTTCTATATTATGTAAAGAATGGAATTAGGATCAGGACTGACCCCAGCGCTCACATTCAGGAGCTGGTACAAACCAGGAGCTTGTAGACCACCCACAGGTGCACAGTTGCTGATCAGGATGTCATCAGAGGGGTTGGTGGCTGAGAAAGCTTAACAATGAACTTTTAAAGTTTATGCATTGTTCATCATACATTGCACATCTTGTAAGTAATCCCAAGTCGAGACAGTCGTCTCTAAGAACCCACAACCAAACCTATCTAACCTTGGTTTTGCCATAGGATCAAGAGGCGAATCACCCAAGCGAAGTGAACCAATATCCAAGTTGTAAACATCTTGAGTTAATAAGGTGAGTGGTTTGAGGGGACTAGTTAGTATTCCATTCTGAATTGTTTCTGATGCATGTTACTTGGGTTATATGATATGCTCTTATATGTTTTTTATGGTTGAGTTATGCATTTGAGATTCATGTTCAAGTTTATAAGTAAGTAAGAACATGTTTTAAACCTCACTTAGCTAGACGCACACGGTCACCTCATGTTGTGATTAAGGAGGTTACAAACCCTACTCCTAGGTAATAAGGAGGTTACAAACCCTACTCCTGGGTAATGAGGAGGTTACGAACCCTACTCCTAGGTAATACGATCATGTTTAAGTATGTCGGTGATCGTGGTGATGCGCTAGTTAAGTTGACATCGAGGCCCCCTTTTCGCAAAGAATATCTATTTCAAGAAAATCATTTACAAGTCGAGTAAATATTTGTATGCATGAACTTTTGCAATCATTTTCATGTTGCTTTATTTTCTATATTATGTAAAGAATGGAATTAGGATTAGGACTGACCCCAATGCCCGCATTCAGGAGCTGCTAGAAACAAGGAGCTTGTAGACCACCCATAGGTGCACAGTTGTTGTTCAGGATGTCATCATAGGGTTTAGTGGTTGAGGAAGCTTAACGAAGAGCTTTCAATGTTTATGCATTGTTTATTAGCGGACTTGAGACAGATGTTCGCTTGTGTTTATTAATAATGTTTTCCCCTTTTGAATTTGGATTTGATTGATGTGATCTTTCTATCATAATTTTCATATTGAACATTTTATGGTTACCAAGGACATGATAAAGGTGCCTGGTTACTCTAGTCATCTACCACTTGCACAAACTTTACACAACACAAACGAAAGCCAAGGCACGCAAGATCCAAACTCAAAATGCAAGAATTGAAATGCTAGATTAACTAGTAAAAAAATTTTCCCGAATAATAGACCGTGTTCCCCAATGACGACGCCAGAAAAACTCGACTCGCTGCCACTACACACTATCCCAACTATAGGCCAACTGAAACCTATAATCGGGGGTAGGATAGGATAAGTATTTCAATATTAACGCTAGCGGACAATCTATCCTTACTTCAACCGCTTACACATTATCTAGCGATCGAATTGTGGTTAAAACTAAATAAACTAAACAAGCAAGCAAAGTAAACTTTGGTGAATTCAAATGAGAAATGATTACTCATACATTGCTCCCCCTAATCCCGTGTTAAGATGCCAAGATGAAACTCTAGTGTGGTAGGTAAGTTCATACCATTAGGAGATCAAAATTAGCTAGGAAACCTATTCAAGTGCTTCCTAGCTAGCTTAATCGATTGACTAAGGCTTGCATACACTCCTTCGAAAGTTATTCCGAAACAGAACAAAGTAACCAATCATAGAGAATTATGGCACTTATTTAATTTGATGATTGAGGGATGACCCTAATTGGCCTAGAGAAGGTTACCCGAATTTCCAAGAATGGCTATAAGGGGATTTCATCATTCTATGTCAACTTGTCCCCAAACTGAGAGATTTGATCAAGAACACCCAGTTTCCATGAATAATACCTCAATCATTATATAAATCTTAAACCAACACATAGAGCTCAAATCCTTCAATTTACAACATCCTAGAATAGGGCTCACAACATCCAAGTGAAATAGGAGACTACTCCATAGCTATAAGAGAAAGGACAACTAAGATAGGGAGAAAACCCATAGCAAAGTGATTCCCCCTCTTCGTAGATTTTGATTCAATCCTTGGAGAAGAAATCTAACTTCCTTTAGGATTGCGTAGGTCAAATTCTCCTTCCTTCCTTCTTAGCTCTCTCTCTCTCTCTCTCTCTCTCTCTCTCTCTCTCTCTCTCTCTCTCTCTCTCTCTCTCTCTACGCTTTAAAGAAAAAACCTCCAATCTCTCTAGAACTCTCCCTTTCAAATTCAACTCACTCTCCTTTATATAGTTCCCGAGTGCACATATCACACTCGTGAAGTCGACATTAAAACCGATCTCGGCTTAAAACGTGTCGTTTCACTAACAAACTTCATCAATTGCTTGTTGTCTTCACTGTTTGGAGACCCTGATTTTGGCAATGAATAATTCATGGTTTGCTTGTCCACTTCACGGTTCGCGCTCGTGATGATAGCACCAAAACCGTGATCCTCACACTTTCATCCATTTTGCTCCCTTTTTGCCCTCTTTTGTCCGAATTTAGATCCCGGTGCCAAGATTACCTGCTAAGGTCTGAAACATGACACAATAACGGAAAACATAACATAAAATAGCTCCAAGGACGGCGCAAACAAAGACAAACGATGCAAGGAAAGGGGTATAAAAGTGTATAATGTAACCTGAATCACATGTACAATATTATAGATGTATTCACAACAATACACCTATTTAGCAATCACTACTTCCAAACGACCCCTTACCACAGAAGGAACAGATTCATCTGATCTATAAATTCACAAAAAGAAAAAATTTCATAAAAAGAAAAAAATTCAAGACTAAATATACCATCATATACCACCCTAGCACATGGTGGTAAAGTTAAAAATATCAAACAAAACACAGGAACACTAATCCATGAAAAAGGATCTCCCTCTCAGGTTTTAAAATGTTCGGCTTAATTGCCTAGTTCTCAACAAGCCACAATATTTATAGCTCTTTAGCTGACTAACCCTAAAGCCTTTTATGTCGTTTTAGTACACGACCATAATTATAATAACACATGACTATATAATTAACACCCTCCCTTAAATTGATGTTGGCTACGAACATCAATTTGTAAGAAAGTTACCAATGTCTACTCGAGCTCAACGCTTTGGCCAATAGATCTGCAGT